CAGTGTTGACCTTGACACACACTGGAGAAACCCTGAGAGTATGATCCCTGGACACCCTTTTAGCTCAGTAATGAAGTCACTCCTGAGGTTCACCCTTCAGCCAAAGATTAGACAGGCCCATAAAACAAAACGAGACTAAAGGGCACAAAAGCCCAGGGACAAGGACTAGAAGGCAGGAGGGGACAAGAAAGCTGATAATAGGGAACCCAAGGTCAAGAAGGGAGAGTGTTGACATGTCATGGGGTTTTTAACCAATGTCATAAAACAATATGTGTATTAACTGTTTAATGAGAAACTAGTTCTGTAAACCTTCATCTAAAGTACAATAAAAATTAAAAAAAAGAAATTTGATCCTCTGCAAATAAGCTAATAAATTTAAAAAAAAAAAAAGTACCGTGTTGAGATGAACCTCTTAATACAGCAAACCATGAGACCTTAAATTACATGCTTATATTTCACTCATTAATTCACTTATGATTACTGACTGAGCTTCCGTTTCTTCTGGGAGGTTCAGTGATGAGTGCTTACTGGTTGCTTTCAGAGAGCTCACTCTTAGTCTAGTGGAGGTCAGATAATAATAGTCACCATACAGAGTGACAAGGGGAGGTACAGAAAGCCTTCCAGGCTGAGGGCCTAGCAAATGCCTAGGTGCCAACGCACTGAGGTTAAGGAGAGCATGTATTAATAGGACACAAATTATGGGGACTGGGGAGTGGGAGGTGATTTGGTCAGAAAAGTAGAAAGAAGCCAGTTCAGGAAGGTCCTTGAGTATTATGCTATCACTCAAGTTCAATTTAACTTGGAAGTTATGGAATCCCATTGAATTATTTGTATTCAAGGAAATGACAAGATCAGATGGGATTATATATTAGGTCTTGTGAACAATGCAAAAGTAAAATTTTATTCCTCAAAATAAAAATGAAATATTTTAATACTAGGGGCAAACCCTGAGGGGAAAATATTTTACAGAAATGTAAAAAGAATGGCTAAAAAGTAAATGATATGACATGATTTTGGAAGCTGTTCAACTTAAAGAACGTAGGCTTAAAAAATAATCAGCATTTTACATGGTTCTAAGAAGTACTCAGAGAAAAGTCTTTCATCCTCATAAAAGCATATTTACTTTTGGTTCACATACTGGCCATTGTTACTTCAGTTAAAAAATAAAACATTTAAAAGAAAATAATAAACAAAATAATATGCATGTATAGTTTCTGTCTTACAGAGCTCCACAATTTTATTTAAAAGTTTGGAATGTCCAGTGATAGAGAGAAAATCTCAGTTGTGCATATTGAAACACTGAACCCATCTCCAAGAATGTGCTTCAGCATTTATGATGCAAGTTTTAGAAATGTGATCTACCTGGATAGGATATAGTTTTATTGAAAATATCCATTTCGTGGGTGAAATACAGAGCATAGTAAAATGTGAGCTTATCTTTGAGACTGGAGAAAAAGGCACACTTAATATAATGTCTAGCCTTTCTAAGTGTCTTCAGTGAACAGAGTTAGTAAATAAAAATTACCCTTCATTTTCAGATTTTGCCCAAATTTGGTAACGAGATGAGTGTGTAGTGGTTCTTTTATTTTATTCATAATTGTATTCCAAACTTCCAAACAGATTTCCCCATGGCTGTTTTAAGGGGAATGACCCAAAGGCGAAGTTAATTGGGTCATTAATTGCCATAAAGCAAGTAATTCACTGTCAACAGTTTGCAGCTACTCATGGTTCAGGCAGAAGGCCAGTTACTTCATCACTTTCTGTTTGTCCCTAGGTTCTACAATATTGGATGCATTGTAAATGCTGCTATTAGATGCTAGAATGGAAATTTCCTGTGTTGGCTAGGACATAAAAAATATATAAAAGAAAAAAGTGAAACAATAACGTTTCCATATGGCTTTAAGATTTTAGTTGTATTTTCATAGGCATAATGTGTGTCTGTAGTTGAGCAATACATTTTTTCCTGATTCTATTATTTTTGTTCAATGGAAGTAAAAAAAATAAAGTATAGCTAAGCTTCTACTATCTGCCAAAAACTTATGATGTGAGCTTCCTTGCCACAATATAGATAGAAATATTCCAGTTCATACTCACATACCTTCATACTTACACCACTGCTACAGTGCTCCCTAAACAGTGCCGATAACCTATATTCCTTTTGATATGTCAGTACTTGTACTTTAAAAGATTTTTTTTTCAGTGTCTCAATATGTTAGTTCTGGACTAAAATTAGATATTTTTTGAGGAAAGAAAAAATACAGTATAATTAGCCTAAGATATTTATTCTGTGACTACATATATGTTCACAAAAATTTTCTGGATAATATCTGTCATCTTTCTGTGTTGTAGTTGTCAAAGAGCCATTATTTAAATTAGTTTAGGCAACTACATCTGTTTGTGGAAGTGTTTCATGACTATGAATGCTTTAAATTAGATTTTAAAATGAACATTTATATTTCATAAAAATAACAGTTATTTTAACCTTTTAGCTATGCATCATCTAATGGAAAAATAATACATATGTTAACCTTATCTGAAATTTGCATTATATCTATTTATTTTATGCATCAGGTCATAAAGGAGTACCTAAAGCATAGGGAACCAGGAGGAAGTTGACTGAAAATATGTCCCATATTTTATGTCCCATATATGTCCCATATTTGACATTTAAGTAATGGCTATCTGGTGAGGCCAGTGTTATCTATGTGGAAACATGAGCAGAAGTGGCTTCTGATTCTGTTTATTTAAAAATGATTGAAGTTATCGAGTATTAAGCACTAATATGATAAGTCTAATACCACACCCCACCTTCTTGTAGGGAATCCTACAAAAGGATTGCCTGGACAGCCCCTAAATGTTCACCTGGGGAATACGAGGCTGCCTTTCCTCTAAAATTTAGCATTAGGTTGCATTGCTACATGAGTTGCACAGGTCAGACTAGAGAGCTTTTGAGGGCGTAGCTCCTACATTCAGTTAAGCAGAGTATGCACTGCATAAAGTGGCCGAGGGAACTGCAATCCAGCCCAGGCTTCGTTTGCCAAACCACGTGTCCTATTGTAGGGCTGCCTGTGCATGGAGAAAGAAGTGCTGTTTTCAAATTCGTCTGCCTAGACAACATGATTTATTTTTTCTAATGCATCTGCTCTGAGGGGCACCTTTTACTAATCTGCAGTCTAACAGACGTTGGTTCCGAGGTGCTCCCCATTGATGGCCCACAAGGATCCCTGGTAGTGCAATGGTTCAGTGCTCGCTGCTAACCAGAAGTTTGGCAGTTCGAAGGCACCAGCAACTCCATGGTAGAAAAGACCTGGCGATCTACTTCCGTAAAGATAACAGCCTAGGAAACCCTATGGGACAGTTCTTCTCTTTCCTCTAGGGTTGTTAGGAGTTGCATTCGACTGGACAGCACACAGCAACAACAGTGCACACTTCTTAAAGTGTCATGAAGGCCCTGGTTGGAGGCAAGCCTCTTCCCACTCGAGGGAAGGTTCTTGTTACCTGCCAAGAACTCTGTTGTCTGTATTGAGCTTCTACAGAATACATTGCATTTGATCAGGGGATAATTTGGCCAACATTGTGCTCTCTGTTAGAAGATATAACTGAAGATTCAAATGATTTCAATAGCGTGATATGCATTAAGGACAGATATAATTGTTAGTTAATTGACACATGTATATAGTCTTTTTTTTTTTTACATTACAAATTGTGGTGGGAGTATGCTAAAGGGTAAGAGTAAAATCAAGGAAAGATCCTAAACCTATATTTTTTGCCTTCTACTTGGTCACCCCATTGTCTCTTCCCAGCCTCTATTCAAATCAAAATAAAAATATATACTCCAAAATTATTAAAAGTAGTTCTCTCTCTATATCCCTTTTTTCTTCCTTCCTTGATGCCCACCTACCATATCTGTTCATTGAGTGAGAGAGTGACCTCTCTGCCACCAGCCCCAGGCTTTCAAGTTTGGCTGACCAGCCTGAACACTCTGAGTTCCTAATTATCATTGCATGACCAGTATAGAACCCCAAGGAATGGGCTTTTCAGTGTGACTCAAAAGACTTGTGATTTCTTCTTAATCCTTTGTGACCCATCTGGCTTCACAACTATTGGTTGATTTAATTATTATTAAATAATAAGGTAAATTAGATTATTAAATCATATGTAGATATTTGTCTTTCTTACAGAAACTAATTTTGTATAGAAATTGTGTAAGAATTTTGTAGAGAAACAGATTTGCACATATTTACTAGACTTTTTTGAGTGTAAGATGACATAATAAAAGTCTTGCAAGTAAATGTGCTTATAAGGCTGTAAGCAAAATGAATACTGCATGCAAATAGTCATTTTTACCTATTAAGAAAGCTCACTATATACAGACTTATACCAGAGAAAGTACAAAAGCAGGTTGCCTGAAATCTGGTGAAAGGCGAGACAAGCCCAATGGCTTTTCTTACAGAACATGACAATCGTTAGGAAATGAGGATTTCTAGAATGCTTGGGGTCTTTATCAGAGGCAGTTACATATAGGTTGGAGTTATCTGCAAAATAAGCTTGCTTTCCATAATTCACTATAGAGCAATGATGTACAACCAAATGATGAAATCTGCACACATGTTTATGTACCCCAGGAAAGCCCATTAGTGAGAGTAGACTCTTGAGGTATTATGCAAATACAGCTTTCCACCATATATTGCTAAAAGATGGCTGTTGTCCTTTATAACAAATTTTTCAATTAATACCTTGTAAACCTATGTTGCCATGTTTACATTATAATATAAAATTCCCCATTTAATTTCTCCTCCTGCAGGAGAAAATCACCATTAATTTTCCTTGAGCCTATAAACCTTTTGTTACATAAAATTATAAATAATATCTTCTCCATTGAGCTAACTTAAATTAGTTTAAAATACCTGTGAAAATTGTAACAAAGACGGTGAACACCTACTAAATCCATTTTATAAAGGCATATAACATTTCTTTATATGCTTATTTGCTTTTTTCAGGAGAAAGGAAGACAACAGTATCCTGCACAAAAATTATGAACAAAAACAACAGCATTGTGGACAACAAGAAATGCAAATACTTAACCAAGCCCGAGCCACAGATTAGAAAGTGCAATGAACAACCATGTCAAACAAGGTAACCCCATTCAATGAATTGTTAAGAATTGTTTGTCCGTTAAATATCTGGTTTTTAAATGACACTTGGATTATTATTGAATTTGCATCTCCTTAAAACAATGGAAAGAGATATGTACCTAAATGCAGATCTAAGAAATCGAGAGAATAGGCCTAATGGAAAGAGTATTGGAGCAGGATTAACTATGCTATCCACAGTATGAAAACAACCACTGGTTTTCATACTGGGACAAGAAGGAGAAGGATTAATTTGAATTACTTGGTAAACTGTAGGTCGCCTTTTCAAAAATCAGGCTATTTCATTGAATTTAACTATTTCCCTTCTGAATTTTCTGAAATGGTGTGTTAGAACTTGCCAGAGGTGATATAAACCAAAAAAGGACTGGCCAGGACCCAGAACCCAGGTAGAAACAGTGGGATCAGTGTGGTCCCTTTGGTTCCTGACGCTAGATTGTCATTCCCTCTCCCAGAGGTCCCAACGCAAACTGCTCAACAGCTGATCTCTGATCAGCTGATTCCTGGCCTGGGTCTTATTTACTGGATGGATGCTTTGGTCCCTTCCCACTTCCTCCAGAGAGTATTAGGGAATACACTAGGCATGAACCCATGAGTCAGGGACACAACAGAGATGCTGAGAAGCTGAGAGTGGGGTAGAAAGTCTAAGTAATTTATTATTATTTGTTATAAATAATAAATGTCTTGCAAGTAAATGTGTAAGATAAAATAATGTAAGTGACACCTTGGCCACTGAAAGATAAGGCAGAGACAAATGAGTGGATCTGGGAGTAATTTAGGCTCCCATCACAGGGTTCTTGAAAATCTGCCTGCTTTTATCTAAAAATTGATCCTGGGCTGGAGCAAGACTGAGCCTCAGTGTCAAAAGTTCTAAAAAAACTTTTAGGGACAGGATGACAAGTACAGTGTGAGGCTGGGTTGACTGTAGAGTATGGAAGCAAGACTATTCACTCTAACCTTACACTCAGGGATTTGTTGAGGCTCAGTGAGTTACAGTGTAGTTGTGAGCTCTTAGACAGTCAAACAGAGAAGTCATCTTCCCCTCACAATAGCCCTGCAGTGGAACCACAAATTTCAACATCCAAAGACTCAGGTTTGCAAAGAAGTTGTAGCTATGTAGCAGTCTATAACTAATATAATCATCCACCACAATGAGCAAGTTATAGAACTGCTCTCAAAGATAGATGAACAAAGTTAAAGTTGCCAAATAACTATATTTTCTGCTTTTGTATCTTAATCTCTTTGGGAATTGGTGTCATCCAGGTAATGCTCAGTCCTTCTGGTTTCTCTTCTCCCCTGCCTTCCCCTCTTCTGATGTAGCACTTCATCCTGAATTCCCTCTTTTTCTGGCTTATTGCAAAACTCAGTTATTAAGCCCTACATGTCTGACTCCTGCCATGTTAGCAAGAGCTTAAAAGAATTTGGAAAATCATTTCTTTCTCTACATAGCTGGAATTTTAAGACTTGCTTTTCCATAAATTCAGTGTATTTAAGATACTTATTATCAACTTTCCTTTCCTTTGCATTCCTGACCTGACAGTCCTATCTCCCCAGGCAAAGATATGCTACTAGAAGATATGAGAGGGAAGAATAATAAGTAAAAATAGATAGACAGACAAATAGACAGATGGATAGATAGAGCTAGCTAGCTGCCCTGGAGTCCATTCTGACTGATGGCAACTTTATGTACAACAGAATGAAACTTTACCCAGTCCTGCATTGTCCTGTTGGTCACCAGCATTTTCAAGTCCCTCATTGCAGTTATTGTGCCAGCTCATCTCATCAGTGGTCTCTCTTGCCCTTGCTGGCCCTCTACCTCACCAAACATGCTGCCCTGCTCCAGCAATTAATCCCTCCTGATAACATATCCAAAGCAAACAAGTTGGACAACGTTCTGTTGTGATTCATAAGGTTTTCATTGGCTAATTTTTAGAAGTGGATTGCCAGATCTTCCTAGTCTGTCTTAGTAGGGACACTGCACTGAAACCTGCCCAATGTGGGTGACCTGCTGATATTTCAAATGCCAGTGGCATAGATTCCAACTTCACAGCAACACACAAGCCACCACAGTACAACAAACTGACAGAGGGGTGGTGGATGATATGTAAAACGAAGTGCAGAAGAGAAAAGTACATTAATATATTTTCAATAATATTATGTACATTGCACCTGCCTTGCTATATGCTTTTCAGCCTAACTAATAAGTAGGTGAACTGATAAAGTTTTTCTATGAGGCAGCGTAGGAATCAACAGGCAGGGTGAACTAGGGAATTACTATCACCTACAGTGAGGCCTTTGGGACCTTTCCAATTATGGCTGGACAGATATATAAGCAGAGAATTTGGCCTTTGCCCTGCATCCTTATTGTTATTACTATTCCTAAGAATATTTTTCCCTTTATTTTGAACATTAATAAAAAATTAATATTTTAAATATTAATTTACCTTGTGTTTCATGATTTGTTAAAATATTTCAAAACATCCCCCAAAAACCCACCCGTTGCCATTGAGTTGATTCTGACTCATAGCAACCTTATAGTTGGTTCATACGCCATATATTTTTTCCATGTTAAAGAAAGAACAACAGCTTTTTCTGATACATCAGGAAACTTGCATGAGCTATATTTGTGGACTAGAGCATATTTGTCACATCTTGGTCTGTGAACAATCAGAATATACGACACACATTATTTATTGTTCATTCACGGATCTCAATCAGCCATTTCTAGGGAAAATGGCTCAATAATGACTTGATAAAATGAATAATTTTAAGAGGTCAGTACATTTCTGAGTGAGAAATTTTTGCAGCTGGAGACTGGAAGTTTTTTGTTTCAGAGCTTATTATCTTCGCTCTCTTGGAAAGGGAGGCAGTATATTTTGAACTACCAAGAGGCTGTGTCAGTGAGGTTAACCAAAATATTGGAAAGTAAGAAATAGACATAGGTAGTTATAAATAGTTATCACAAGAAAACTTTCTAAGTCTTACTGGCAACAAAAATCTTTATCTCGCCTATCTTCTTTTTCCCTACACGAATAAAAACCATTCTAATTTCCATTCACATTTATGGAAAAGGTTATCAAATGGACAGATGAAACCCCATGTGCCAAATATAAAATATATTGATTGACTAGTAAATACTTTCCCAAGAATAAGGACTATTATGGATAAAAAAAAGACAGTTCAAATTAGATAAATTACAAAATACAGAATGTTTTCTCTTATTAGATTATATGTTAAATTTTATTTTTTATTTTCTGAGCAGTTTTCACAAGGAGTAGAAAAGGGAACTTTTTATCATGATACGAAGGAGATCTAAAACATATTTTATTTCAAAAATATGAGATTCCATGAAATAGCAAATACTTCTGTTTTGAGTAGTATCTTCTGAGCTCCATAATTCAGTGGAAAGGTAATAAGAGATGGGTTAAAATTGTGCTTATTGCTTAGATATTCTTGGGCAGAAATACGAAGCCAAAAGCATACTAAATTTGGAAGATAAATATTCACTTTAGGGAAAATCCAGTTGGGGACTCCAAAGCAAAATGGTAGGTCTACATCATACTTGATAGACCAGACAACAAGAATCTTGACAGAACACAATGGAGTACTATGCAACGAGAAAGAACAATGAATCTGGGAACCATCTCATAACATGGATGAAACTGGAGG